AAGTTAATCCGCGGTTCCTGGTAAATCAGTATCGTACTTTTTTGTATGGTAGGGTAAGGTGGGGCAGGTTCGGACACGTTTTTTCAAAAATTAATATTTCAAAGATAACAATTTTTTTTAGACTTAATGCAAATACTACGGATAGCTTAGTCTATTTCCAACATTTTAGCATTATCTTAAGCAAAAAATATTAAGTGGTTTTCGTTTGGTGATATTTTACTTAAAAAAATGCATTTGTCCGAATCTACCCCATATTGGGGCACATTCGGACAAGTAGTGGGGTACTTTCGGACAGGCCTGAGAAAATTTAGAACCTATTTATTTTTAGAATGAATAAGAGACTATATTAGAAAAAGTTTATTAAACATTATAACCATCAAAATTGACATTAAATTTAAAGAGCGAACACATCCTTGAAGTTCCTGGTGCTGCCTCTGGTGCTGCTTCGGTATTTTCGAAACTATATCTTCTCTGGAAACAGTCGAAATATCTTGCAAGTCCGGAAAGCGGAAACCGCTTTTATACTTCCTCAAAAAATTTAAGACGTAAGAGCCTTCATTATTGCAAGATTCTACCTTGCCGATATAATGAAGTGTCCTTCTGTTGGTCGGGTATTTGACAAGCAAATAATCATGACAATGGATCACGTCATCATGCAATAGCATGAGCACATCGTCATTGTCTTGAAACTCGTCCAGAGAATCGGAATCAAAAATTTTTGTCTCATGCACAATATTCTGTGGTAAATCTATATTAGAATCCGAGGATTCACTTTCTATTTTTTTTAACTTTTTCTTTGGCGCCTTTCCTTTGCTCTTCTCCCCAACTTTTGTATCATTTTTCTTTACTTCACATTCGCTTTGTAATGCTTTTCTTTTCGTGTTTTTTTTCTCCAACTTTTGTTTTCTCATTGTTTCCAATTCTTGAATTCTTTCCTTTTCCGGTGTGCTTGTATAAATTCTGGATTTACCTTTTACCTTTTTTCTTTTTAAATTAGTTACGTACCATCCCAGAAAGTTAAATCAATCAAAACTGGGTTTTATTTGTAAAATGGGGCACATTCGGACAGTCCGAAGCTGCCCCACCCGATTTGTCCGAACGTGCCCCATGTTTCAGAAATACATAGATATCAAAATAAAAATTTGCACATGGTTAACTGATGCTGTTTTATGAGGTTATGTATCGCCAATGATATTAATATCTGCGGTAAAAGGTATAAAACTTACCTTACTGGCCCGTACAACATTCATGAGTTCATGAACCACCTCATGTCATGACTTCACGGTTTTGTGCTCATATGGAACTCATGATGAGTTCAGAGTCATGGTAAGTTCACGGCATGATCCGCCGTGATGTCTTTTGAATATTCGCGCTTTGAAGATCTCCACCGGCTGCGCATATGAATGCGCATGGAACAAGCTGTGTCGTCTTTGCCCGATTGTTTTATTTGTTTAAGTGGTTGTAATATTCTGTTTCTATGGTTGTAATAATTATTTATAATAGTTTATAATTATAATATGTATATTATAATATAACTGGGAAAAAGAAGGTAAGTTTCGTTTTTTTTTTGTTTATAAACATGTGACATGTCCTCGCTTATTAAATTATTTGACAGTCGGTTTGTTTTCAAATTTACATTTTACTTACTCATGAATTTAATAAGTATTATATTGGTTTTTTGTTAAGAAAATTAATAATTATTTATTAAATAATAATTATTAATAATTTAACCTCAAAATATAACCTAGGTTTTTTTGTAATGTCTGCAAAATTGAAACGTGTGAAATACGAACGTTAATTAAATTGATGTGAAATGTTTATCTGGGTTTATAATTTATGTGCGTGATTAATATAGGCATTAAATGCAAATTTTGACAATTAACGACAAGAAACTTATTGAATAATGACAGCACAGCTGAGTGCAATCGAAGCCAAAATGTATATATGTGGTTCGTAGAAATGCATTGTACTATTTTCTATTTTACAGAAGCTGCCATGGACTGCACAACCCAAGAGTCACCAGGGACCAATTCAACATGTGCACAAGAAATGCTTGAAGAAGAGGCTAGTTCCACTTCCCTGTTAAAAATCACCCATAGAGACCAATAGAAACCAATAAAAAATCAGAATGGAATGAATTGGTCTTTATTGGGCCTATTGGTTTCTCAACAGAATGAGCATTGGTTTCTATTGGTAATTTCCGTACTGGATAATGCCAATAGATTACCTAATGGTCTGAATTGGTTTTTATAAGAAGTTACAAGTACAGGAAATTTCCAATTGAAATTCAATTGGTAAATACCACTTAAATGTTCAGCGCCTGCGCAATTTAATACAAATGACCACTTGTTTCTATTGGCAATTTTCTTACTGGAAAATACCAATAAATAAACTAATGGTACAAGGAACCCTATTGGTATATACCACTTTAATATTTATTTTCAAAATTCGCCAATAGGTAGGCAACCCATGCATACCTCTCGCCTCTGTAGCACAATACATAGGCCTATAAAGGTGGAATGCCTTGAGCTGTTAAGTAAGGATTCCTTACTAAGGCAAAATTACTGGCCAGGGAAACGCCTGGCGTTTTGGAATTTTTAAAGGGGCACAGGTCGTCCTGTGGCCCACTCTGCGAAAAGTAAGCAGTGGGCCCCACTACTTACTTTTAGCAGAAGCTATTTATAAAATTTAAATTAAATGTTAAACAGCACTATTTTTGAGAAATTATTTAACCATCAAAACACGTAATTTTTTACCTTAAAGACGTCAAAAATGGATAGTGGGGACCAATTCAAACCAATAGCGGTACCTCTGGAAAATCCAAATAGCTCTATTGGGAATTACCAATAAAATATATCTATAATATATCTATTGGGAATTACCAATAAAATACGATTAGTCTCTATCGGTCTGTATTGGGATTTTACAGCGGTGTCGCTATTGGTTTGAATTGGTAATTCATGGTACAGATACCACTATTGAGACCAATTCAAACCAATAGAGCTGCCGCTGGAAAATCCCAATAGCTTTTCTATTGGTCTTTATGGGTGATTTTTAACAGGGTTATAACTTTTCAAGAATTACAATAGAATGAAATGTACATGAAAAATTGTTTTATATTCCTCGAGGTAGATCTACAGATTTTTATTAATTTTGCATAAAAAACATTAATTATAACGTAATTACGTTAATTTAATTACGTTATAATTAATGTTTTTTATGCAAAATTAATAAAAATCTGTAGATGTACCTCAAGGAATATAAAACAATTTTTCGTGTACATTTCATTCTATTGTAATTTTTGAAAAGTTATAAATATATTTTTTATCTCAAAATTAATGAAAATCTGACAAGAAATTTAAAATAATTTATCAAGAAATAAACAAATGTATAAATTCGATTGAAATTTTTAGAAACTATTTAAGTAACATAAAAAGATATTTTTTGATTTTAAATTTTATAACCTTTAAAAAATTATATGTTAATTTAATTATATAATTAACATATATGTTAACATAAAAAAAATATTTTATGATTTAAAATGTTGTTGCCTCAAAAAATTTTGTTTAGAAATATATTTTTTTTTAATTCGAACAACTATAAAAACATGCAATTTGTTTTTTTTTTAATTTTCAAATTTTTTAACATTAAACAATAATTGAATCTCATTTAAAAAAGACATAAGTAATTTTTTTTACAAAATTTGCTTTTTAATTAACTAATAAACAACTATAAAAATATGCAATTTGTTTTTTAATTTTAAATTTTTTAACCTTAAACAATAATTGAATCTCTCGTTTCAAAAACGACATAGGTCACTTTTTTACAAAATTCGCTTTTTACCATGAAACGCTTCTACATGTTATGCATTCTACATGTAGAAGCTCTTGTGGTAAAAATTGAATTTGACTTGGTCGTTTTAAGAACGAGCGATTCAATTGATTATTGATTTAAAAATTCGCGGGCATTTATGAATCGTATGCGCATGCGCGCTACCCAATTTTTGGATCCTGGCTCATGACATGACCACAACATGAGATCGCTATGAGGACTCATATGTATGCTCAAATGAAGTCATGGCATGACTTATAAATCATGACTTGATGTCCATATGAGTACAATATGAAATCAAAAATGTTGTGCGGGGGTGTTCTCAAGCCAAGAAAGCTTACGATAGCCCTAATAAAATTTATAAGAATAACTATGTTTTTATATTTTCTCAAATAAATAGTTGTCGAGTGATCAAAGTCGCTAAACATGTACGGACCACAGAACTATTAGTGTAGAAGGATATTTACTGTCAATCACAATTGTGCTGTCAATATGGAAACTCTCGTAGCACTTTAAGGCGGTAAATTTGATTTGTCCGGAGGTGCCCCATGTCCGAACCTACCCCACCTTACCCTAATGGTAATTACAAATTATTTTCGGTAGTTCAAATTTTAAAAAAAGTATTAGGTACTTCTTTATACATTCTAAGGACCTATGGGTTTATCCATTTTAATACATAACAGTAATTACATAATACCCTGTATATAAATATTTTAGTCATAACTTTTGACTACATTTTCGGAATCAGCGGACAATTGTATATGGGAGTTGACTATTGAATGTCCAGGATACAAATTGCCATGAACTAGTGTTACTATAGATGCAGCAACTGCTGAATGATGCTTTTGACCTTATCCATTAGGGTTAAGTGAAAATACTGTGTTTAAAATTTTGCGTTGAAATTCTTTATGTAATAGGAATGAAAAGTTGCTCTTTGTACTAAAATAAAAATAAAATACTCATTTATCATCTTCCACCCACAAATTTTAAACAGTATTTCACTCCACCCTAATGTCATTAACAATTTTTCAATACTATAACAAAGGTGAATTTTCCTTTTATTTAATGTACCTATAATAAATTATTAATTTTTCTTGTTGATGCCTAGTACAGTTTCAATATTATCATTTTTTGACATTATTTTGAAAATAAATTAATAAACATTTTACCTGGATTTTTCCCAAGGGGATTCAATGGGTGATACAAAGTCATCAGTATTTTGTTGGGACTCTCTCCTGCTACTACTTTCTGTTCCTAAAACCTCCACAGAACTAGGACTTGTTAGACTTTCTGGAACTATTTCAACTGACTCTGATACTTGTTTGGAACCTAAAAATTATTTCAAAAAAATAATAGAACAAATACCTACACCATTGTTTATTTACCTATAGCAGAACTAGAAGTGGACAAAGAATGGGCCACTGAAAGCATATCGGATTCTGGACTAGTGGTCCATTCAGTACTAGGTGATATTATATCTAAACTTGCAGAACTATTTCTTTCACTTTCTATACTAATTGCTGACAAACGATTTACATGCAAAGCATTAGGTTTTTCAACTCTTTTAACTACTACATCTTGATTTTCATCAACAGGTTTCAGGTTTTCCTTATTAATGTGAAAATTTTCATTTAATTCACTTATTGAAATTCTGGATAGCTGGCTGTCAATATCATCACTATGATGCACTACCAGTTTACTTGAACTAAAGTGTTCTGTGCCCATATCCAACGAGTCATCTAAGCTATCAATAGATATTGATTTTTGGGCTTTGTGGGCAGCTGCAGTTTCAAAAAATGACCCACTGAAAGATCCCCATATGCTGTTACTATTTCTGGCTTGTTTTAATGCATCATTAGGAAATTTCTTATCCTCTTTAATGTGCCCAGACTCTGTTATTCCCCATGTACCAAAAAAATCATCAGGGTTTGTATCAATGGGTGTATTAACGGGTATGGCATTTAGATCATCTTTAATGTCCAATGCTTTATCTATTGTTTTTTGAGCTTCTTTTAATGCTGTTTTGGCTATGCTAGCCAAACCTGATGCATCAAACCAGCTCATTGTGATACATTATATACCTACCTAAAATAATTGTTTTATGATTTATTTAATGAATTTATGTAATTATCTACTTACAATTCAAGTTCGGTTTTTAGAACCACTATTACATTACAAATTACGATTTTAACTTTTGACGCCTCTGTCATCATTTGACATGTTGACGTTTAAATTAATTTTAGGTTAAGGTTACTTTAAATTTTCTTGAATATATAAAAATATTATTTATAATAAAAATAAAATCTAAGTACTTAAATTAAATAAACAATTTTAATTGAATCACATTTACTAAATTAGTTTATCGATCGAATTTTGCATACATTTTTATTTAATCTCGAATATTATCTGGTTTAAAATATAATATTGCGATTTTACGAGTATTTAACCATTTATTCAATTTATAATTTACTCGAATTTTTGTTTATATAATTTTGTATCTGCTAGATTAAACTGATGTTTGATAAATGCAATCTTTTGCCAGAATATTCTTAACGCTCTAGTGGCGCAATTGGTTAGCGCACGGTACTTATAAGACAGTAGTCGTGAGCGATGCCGGGGTTGTGAGTTCGAGCCTCACCTAGAGCATAACTTTTTTATTATTTTGTGATTATTTTTTTTAATGTAAAACTAAATGGATATTAATAATAATATAATAAAATACCTATATTTTATAAGGGAAAACAGTTTTACAATTTTATAGCGTTTATCGAAAAGGAACCAAGCGCCAAAAACCTTTTGAGCATTGTTAAAAATGAGTTATTTTACAAATAATTTTACTAAGAAAAAGTTTTTGGCGCTTGGTTCCTTTTCGATAAGCGTTATCCAATTGGCCATTGACCAAGGTCTAAGTTTAAAACAAAATTTATACATAAAACTTAAGTATCAATTGGACCCCGTTATGCAACAAAGAACCAAACAACATATTTGCAGTTACGAGAAAATGAGGAAAAACGTTTCAGACTTTTGATTAAAAAATTTATTTATAAAAACACTTTTAAACTGAATTCAGTTTGTTAACAAACGCTATCATATTTTACTATATATGAACAGAACAATAATTGTAATGACCAAAAACACTTAAAAAGTTATTCCAAGTATGGAAAAAATACCTGGTTCCCTATTGCTTAATTGAAAATTTAACAAACATCACTTGGGTCCGCAACCAAGTTACAATAATAATAAAAAAAACTTACGTATGTCAAAAAATAAAAGTTTTACTCTAAGAAAAACACTTGGTTCTATATTGCGGAACAGGAAAAATATATTATTGGTCAAAGTCAAAGTCTAACTCGCCATTATAACCGTCTATGTCTTCCTCTATTGAAGGGTCTCCTATTAGACTAGTATAAACATTATGATCAGCCTCAGGAATATCTGCCATAGCGATTCCAGTAACTGAGAAAACTGTAGGTCTGAATCCTTTGAATTTTTCTCTTCCTTATATTTATTTCTTTATATTCAGTCTCATCAACATAGTCCGTTTTTATAAAGATACTAATTTTTTTTTCTCCAATAAGTTGTATTTCTTTTATATGGAGCCAATTAACTTTTTCACATTTACAACTTTTCTTTCTGTTAACAATTACTTTTTCTAATGCCCTAGTGCTAACGAAATCATCTTTTTTTATTTCATGTACGTCAATGCGTCGCTTCTTTTTACATGTTTTCATGATGTTTATGTAATCTTAAGGGCAAAATACTTTATTTTGTCTCTTAACCCTTTGTCTCCCAACACTTAATTTTGTGACGACCCTGCTTTTCGCCCAACGGTACTTTTAAGTCATTCATTTTTATTCGCCCATTACTCTAGTGTTTCAATATTATGGATCAGAACTACCACCGCGGTGGTAGTGCACCGGTACACGAGAGTACCACTTACAAAAGTATATCTATATCTATATCTAAACTTTTATACAATAATTCTGGTGATAACTTAATCATAAACAATAAACAATTCCAATAAAAAAATAATCCTACCCGTAGGATTCTTAGTGTGGTATTTGAAGGTACGCCAATTTTAAGGTACTTAAAAGTACCTTTAGTAGACAAAGGGTTAATCGCGCATTCTACGTCACCGAAGTCGCTATCGTTCGGTAGGAAACTATGACCAGACACCAGAAACCTTAATCTAATACTTTTTAAATGTACCGAATTCTCAAGAATACTTTTTAGCAAGAGAACCATTTTTATATTGCGATTCTGGCCACTGCAGGAATCGCTCCAGAGGATGATGGTTTCCACAGATTCGGATACAGCACTAGATAAAATATATTTATTTAAACAGGAACCCATTTCTTGAGCTCCACGGCCCGCTTCCCCTTCGATCCAAACATTAAAAGTGGATTTTTTTTTGCTTTCCTGCATAAATCCCGCAATTATAGTAGTTAGCCGAGAAAGAGGTAGCGTCTTCTCCATGTCGAAAGTTAGCGTTTCCGTTTTATCGTCAGTGTCTGTTTTAGAAAGATCTAAATTCATTTTTTTTCTGGCTGTCTCTGCTTCTTCTAAGTGTAAATTCTTTTCATTTTCGATTCTAACTTTTTCATCTCCTTCAGGTAAACTTTCCATTTTTGTGCTAAACTGATCACATTTTTTTTGCTTACTGAAATATTTAAATTTTCAATCTTGTAAAGGTTGTACCTACATGATTGGCAATGTTGCTTCTTCTTTCAAAAACTCTTGGTCTAGTCTTTTGACCCTACAATAATGCGATTTGTATCGGGGGAATTTGTTAATGTGGGAGACTACGGAAGCTTTTTGTTCATTTGACATTTTATTATGTCCTTCGCTAATACCACGCCTGTCTAATTCGCAAAAGGGAACCAACACATCTCAGAATTAGCAAAAGGGAACCAAGTAACTTTGGATCTTTATAGTAAATTACAATCGAAATAGTTTTGGTTAAGCAAGTAAGTTCTATCGTCCGCCAAATAGCTCTATAGAGCGCCAGATCTTTGGATCGCTATTGCAAATCGGGGGAAGACAATATATTTGACTATGTATAATGCAATTAACTCGTTTTTTCGTAAATTGTCGGTTGGTTCCTTATTGCATAACGGGGTCCAATTGATACCCCAGCAAACACATAAATCTGATTACTTATATAATAATAATAATGGCCCATTGCATAGTTTCGTCGCTTAATAATGGCATTTTTACCCAATTTTTTTCTTGTATTGGGCCTTTACAGGGATATCCCATATGTTTTAATAAAAATATTCACTTATAATACCACAAGAGCTTCAAAATTATCGGGTATTTTTCCCGATAGGTTCGTTGCAAACAAATGAAGGAGTCAAGTTTTTCAGGTTAAAAAATCACGAGCGCGAAGCGCGAGTGATTTTTCCTGAAAAACTTGACGAGTTTATTTGTTTGCAGGGAACCTTGAGGGAAATGCCAGATAATTTTGAAGCTCGTGTGGTATTCGGGGGATTATTTTTCCGTCCCAAATGTCGGCCAATAGAATTGCACCATGTACAGTTAACAAATAAGAATTTCATAATGAATAAACCCTGCTGAAAAAGCCGGGTGATTGCAGGTATGTGCGGGTGAAAAACCAAGCTGGTTTTACACCCGGTTATATATGTATTTTGCCTGCCATACCAGATTTTGCCCGCACGCCTGCTTTCACCTGCGCTGCCGGGTGTAAATATCACCCGCAAACGCCCGGTATTGACGTTAATTATATATAAGATTTTGTTTTCGCCTGATTTCACCCGCGTTTACCTGCATTTTGATTTTCTGTTTTTGTCTGCATTCTCCCGGTTTCATCCGCGAACGTACGTTTTTACATGCGTACGTCTGCATTCGTCCGCGAACGTCTGCATTAACCCGCGAACGTCTGATTTCACCCGCAAACGTCTGCTTTTGCCTGTTTTCACCCGCAAACGTCTACTTTTCCCTGCAAACGCCTGCTTTCACCCGCAAACATCTGCTTTTACCCGCGAACGCCTGATTTCATCCGCGAACGTCTGCTTTCATACTTTTTCACCCGCAAACGTCTGCTTTCACCTGTCTTTCGCCCGGTTAGTGCAACCTCGCAATCATCTGCAATCACCCGCGATCGCCCGCATTTAGTTTGATTTACTTTCGCCCGGTTTCATCGGCAAACGTCGGATTTCGTCTGCGAACGCCTGCTTTCACCTGCGTACGCCTGCTTTTACCCGCAAACGTCTGCTTTTACCCGCGAACGCCTGATTTCACCCGCAAACGTCTGCTTTTGCCTGCTTTCACCCGCAAACGTCCACTTTTACCTGAAAACGCCTGCTTTTACCTGGAAACGCCTGCTTTCACCCGCAAACGCCCGGTTATACCTGTCTTTCGCCCGGTTAGTGCAACCTCGCAATCATCTGCAAGCACCCGCGATCGCCGGCATTTAGTTTTATCTGCATTAACCCGCGAACGTCTGATTTCACCCGCAAACGTCTACTTTTGCCTGTTTTCACCCGCAAACGTCTACTTTTCCCTGCAAACGCCTGCTTTCACCCGCAAACGTCTGCTTTTACCCGCGAACGCCTGATTTCATCCGCGAACGTCTGCTTTCATACTTTTTCACCCGCAAACGTCTGCTTTCACCTGCGAACGCCCGGTTATACCTGTCTTTCGCCCGGTTAGTGCAACCTCGCAATCATCTGCAATCACCCGCGATCGCCGGCATTTAGTTTGATCTACTTTCGCCCGGTTTCATCCGCAAACGTCGACTTTCGTCTGCGAACGCCTGCTTTCACCTGCGTACGTCTGTTTTTACCCGCAAACATCTGCTTTTGCCTGTTTTCACCCGCAAACATCTGCTTTCACCTGCGAACGCCTGCTTCGCTTCGTATAAGAACGCCGGCAAACGTCGGGTTCGTCCGCGAATGTCGGCTTTCGTCCGCGAACGTCTGCTTTCATCCGCAAATGTCTGCTTTCACCTTCGTACGTCTGTTTTTACCCGCAAACGTCTGCTAAATTTATTGGATTTTGACATTGTTTCGCAAAAGAGAAATTAAGTCTTCATTAAAAAAAATTAATAAACATTTTTTCATTATTACACAGGCAGGTAACTGTGCTATGTTTTTCTATCTCATGAGCTAAGGCACCTGCGCAGAAAAGCACGATTGTTGTTTATTTTTACTTCTTAAAAACCGTACTCGGAGGCCGTTGAAGGTGGACACTCGAAATTGGAATCCTTTG